ACTTCTAACTTCCAGCCGAACCAAACTTATAGGAGTAAGATTGGAATACTTCAGAGAATGATCATAAGAAGCTTAAAACTGACTGATAATGAGTTCTGGGCAGAGGAATTGGGAAAACTAACTCAGATATTTCTTGGAAACGGATATCCAGAAAAAACAATACAACGCTATATACGGATGGTGATAAAAAGGTGGAAGGACGGAGACTACGCAGGAAAAACAAGAGGAGCAGAAGAAAAATTATGAATATGCCTAACCTCCAGCGAATTGGCTCAGAAGATACGGCCAATACTAGGTAAATGGAACATTCGTACAATCCTGAAAGAAAGGACGAACCCTCTTTACCAGCTTGCATACACAGCATGAAGAAGTCAACAAAATGGAGTGCTCCGGAGTTTACAGCATAAGCTGCAAGAATTGTGAACAAAAACACTTCAGAGAGACGGGAAGGATAATCAGCACAAGGATCAAAGAACAACAGCGACCATGCAGGAAAATGGATACAGAAATACCGGAGATAGCTGAATACCTCGCCTATACTGGCCACATAATTGACTGGAATGCAACATAAAACTGACCCCATATGAGGAAAACAACAGAAAAAGGAAGATCTGTGAGGCTGTAGACATCCTCGTTCAAAGAAACCGGATGAACAGAAGATTGTAAGAGCGAAGGGCCAGCGATAATTTCACGTTTTACTAGGGCATACTTGGAGATTCGGCGATCACATAATAAAGAAGACGTTTGGACCAAGGAGAGCTGTTCAACAACAGGAAGAGGCATCACCAAGCCGCAGCTTATGCGGAACAATGGGAAGTCAAGATAATTCGACTGCAGCGAGAGGGGTTAGACAAGAAATTGACGAAAAAAATTTACTCAGGGGCCCGCCTAAGATATGTAGGATACGAAATTAACGGATAGAGGTAAGGATGGGGTAAAGAGAGGTCGCCAGTAAGTGTACTTGAGTGTCGTGTGTAATTTTCGTATCTGCGTCGGAAGGGAACATGACTAATGGCAGGCTTGACCAACAAAGTCACAGGGAGATAATCCCAGTACTCTATGATTATATGGGAATGTCAACTTGAGAGACGGGAGGAGTGTGTTTATCGCGATTCAGGGAAAAAAGGCAAGCAATTCATTCTCACGCCAGCGGTTACGACTTTAGCCGGAAAATGGCTCCGAATAATGAGATGTATTCAACCTATTTCGTCTATGGTTATGAAAGACTGGTAGTAGAATTTTCCCACAATGATATGAATTAAGCTGACGTTTCCATTGAATTTCACATAGCCTT